TCTCCATCGGCGGCGCCTACTCTCTTGTCAGGAATATATTTTCGATAAAATATTTTTTAAACTTATCAAGCATGCAACCAGCATGAACACATGTCATGAATGCATTCAGCCTAAAATGTAGGTTGCATTCATTCTGGCCGCATCTCATTCTTTTAGCCATGGAATTTTTTATAACCTGTTTAGACATCAAGTAGAATATTTTGGAAAGTTTTTAAATTTTAATAGATCTTTTTTTCATTTCCCTGTAGCTAAATTTAATGTTTACTAGCTCCTGAGGTAATTTCAGGAGCTCTAGATATTTTACTTCAGTTCGTCATCTCCTAATCTACTATGTCTAGGATTTTTCTAAGATTTTTGAGAAGCTTAGTGACATTTTTTGTGGTACAAAACTTTACCATATTTTATTAACAAAACAAATGAAACTGGCTTGAAAACTGCTTGTAACCAGGGCAGGGGTAATTTAAACGATTTTGAGAGTTGAGAGGGTAAGATGTCCGATTATAGAGATCGAGGAGGAAAATCAAACCATGTCGACAATTTAGGGATGTCGAAGGGACTTTTCCTTGTTACTATAAGTGGAGCCCAAGTGTAGCCCAGTTTACCTCGAATCTAGTTTTGTTGGGCCCAAACATTCGCTATAGAAAATTAGTTTTTAGAGACATCTTCGGTTTCTGTACTCTATAAAAAATCATCTTGAAATTTGGTTTATGATAAAGCTCACCTCCATAAACTGATTTTTAGAGGCAAGGTATTTTAAGCCGCCTCTAGAAATGCTTTCTATTTTCATAGTTGTTTCTAACTGCTTCAGAACATAGAGGCATTTCTAAAGGTGCTAAAACTCTAACCATCTATAGAAATCAATTTCTAGAGACACTTAGTAATGTGACCTGTCTTCAAAAATAGGCTGACCGTAAAACCTATGTAGATGGTAGATATGGTGTGCGACCACATGCACACGTACACTCAGTGTGAGCCAGGCCGAGGCGAAGATGGTACTGGGCTCCTTAGTATCCACATCCATTACGTCATTGCTTTGACAGGCACACCTTAGGTGCTTACGACTGCTATATAAATTGTGAGAATCCTTTAGGCCACGTTCGTTTCACCAGGAATGAGCCCTAGGAAGAAATCCTGGCCGTATTGTTACTTTAATTTAAGTAAGCTTTCACTATCGGATTGATTCTTGGCCTCCTAGAGTCGTAACCGAACGAGCCCTTAGGTGTCCTTAGACTCCCAATTACTAGAGCTTGTAGTGATTCCCAGTTACTATAGAAGCTTGCATGACAGTTGGACACTTCGTTTCCCTGTGGTTCTACGTCAGATTTTGTTGAGTCTCAGTTGGACCTGATTTGTAGTGGAGGGGCAATAATCCTTTCACTACGTGTTCTTCCCTCCGCCTCCCTTATCATCATCCCTGTCTCTCACTGCATTGTAATGAATAGGTGGTGGATGCATGGGGGTTCAAGCCCCCCTATCCCTGAGTTGCCAACATGTGATGGTCCTTTGGGTTGGGAGCATTTCTAGAAGAGCACCAAGACTTTATCAATGTATATCCAGATGGAGGCTCGGTGCCGATCGAGCGGGATCAGAGCGGCGCGTCGGTCAGGATCCTCAGTGCTTGATCGGCGTGAGTACGTACCTATGTCAATTGGGACGTCGCGGGTCGCGTGGTCGTGGATGATGCCGGCCGTCGCATCGTGTCGCCGCTAGAACAACGCAAGAGTTAATTAGTTGAGATGGAGAGACAATCGAAGAGCACGGGATGGAGAGGTGTGGTAGGGCTGGGGCAGTGCTCACCGGCATGCTCAAGGCCTCCCATTGACCTTGCTCGCTCTGGAGCGGAAGAGGAGAGGCAGATCGAGGACGGAGGCGTGGAGGAGCGAGCAGGTGGAGGGAGACAGAGAGAGCAAGGCAGTCGGCCTTCGTGCGCGAGGGCTAGCTATGGTTCCCAGGTGGCTCAAGTTGATCTGAAGAGGTGTAGAGGGACTAGAGGCGATGGCCTGGCACGTCCTGCAGGTGGCTGAAGAGTGTCGTGTGCGCGGCTTGGTGATCTCCCTTGCTACTGATGCGCGGGGCCTAGGGTTCGGTGGGGCCGGACAGCAGTAAAGCTTAAGATGGATCTGTTTGATCGTGACATCCATCTAAATTGCTTGCCTTGTTCTGTAGCTGCAGAAGCGGAGAGGCTATGATCCTAGTCGGGGAGGAGCCAGCAAAGAGCAACTCCAGCAATAGCCCCAAAATCAGGAACCCTATTTTGGATTTGGATGCTTCCCCTCATTTTTGTTGGCCCTCTATTTTGCATTTGTTCCAGCAGGAGCTCTTAAATCAAAGCCCCCAAATTCTCTTATTAGAGATTGATCATTGGGACCCACTTGTCATCTTCAATCTTTCACCATCTGAGCTATCCCAAAGCGCGCAGAGGAGGGGAGAGGCTCGACGAGGAGCATGGACTCCCGGCCTCGAGCGGCAGCGGAGAGAGGGGGAAGAGTCGGCGGTGGGACGGGCGGAGCTGGTGGTCTTGATGGAGTTGACTATGAACAAGGGCGGAGTTCGGCACGGAGATAGGGTGGTGCTTCCTCTATGGTGAGTCGGCGGTGGGATCAAACCTTCCCAAATCAGCACCCTCTATGAACAAGTTTATGCACTCATAATACAAGTATACCCCTCTCTAATTTGCTATGGCTTCACCACCACCCTCATCCAAAGCATTACGCCCATGAGTTTCAGGAGACGGGACGGCGGTGGCGCTTCCTTGCTGCACAAAACTTGTTGGGGCCGGCCGATGAAGAGGTAAGGCTGCTGCTGTTGGTGGTGCATCTGACCACAGGAGCTCGCGGAGGCCATTGGAAATCACCGGAGCTTGACGTAGCACCAGGTGGGCGAGCTAGGGCGGTGCTTCATGCTGGCTGCTCGTCGCTGGTGAAGGACATGATGAAGGCCTGTTGACCCCAGAAACAGATCTACTTGAATCTGCGTCGGGGTCACATCGAGTGGCGGCGGGTGCGCACCCGGCTGCCATCATGGCAGGCGACATCGAGGGCACACCCGAAGGGGTCGAGGGGAAAGAAATTTGGTGAGGACAACCCCATGGAGCAAGCATGGACATACGCATGCATCCAACTAAATGAATTTATTGCTTAAATTTAGGAGGAATAGTTAGAAAGAAAAACTACATTTCTCCTACGGATGGGATGCATAAGCATGGTCACATATCACAGATCAATAGTAGGTGCCAATGGTTGCTCCATAGTGACCATCCCCTTCGACAAACTTCAGGTACCATGCACCTTGCATCGGACGTTTACGGCCTCAGCAAACATCGGAGTGCGCATGTCGGGCAGCACGCGTAGGGCGTAGGGGCGGCAGGGTGCAGCGTTGGCACAGCTGGCGTGGCGAGTGACAACCGCCGGAGACATCGACGCGCAGCGTGCGCGTCGGGGCCTTCGGCGCGAGTCGCCTGAGCATGAGCGTGTGCGACGGACAGGGAGGTTGACCGGCAATCTTCAAAGCACTCGTCATCTTTTGTAATTTTGTTATTATCAAAACCTAGCATTGTTCCTGCCAGTTCACTTTGCAGGGCCACTGCCAAGCCGTTTTCAAAACAGGTAATTCAGACATGATTGAATGGATGCTGATACTGATAATTGCCAGTATGGAGAAAATGCTAGAATATATTGTTAATGGAGACACGATATATATCGTATTCAGTGCGTGAACGAATATGGTGCAGCTCTCGCTTTAACTTTGAGATCCCTGCTCCACCTACATGCTGCTTTCATCTCTTTTTCTTTTCTAAAAGATAAAGGTTAGCATGAAGAACCATATGAGAAGCAACTTGCAGGGATACAGCATTTACTTTAGGCACGTGTCCCTTTTTTTTGTCCAAAGTAAAGGAGCTGGCAATCGTACACGCAGATTTACATACACAAGGCAAGGATGACAGGAGCTGGCACAAGCTCTATATATTTTGCGCTCTTCCAGAGACCCACACATTAAGGTAATTCAAAGCCAAGTGACGTAGTCGATCATCGTCGTTCAGGTTCAGCTAGCTGCATCTCTGGCTCTCTGCCAGACCCACATTGAGGTAACTCGATCCTTCCATTAGTTCCTTTTATCAGTATTGGAGTTAGAAGCTTCATTAGTGCAGTAACTATTAATCACTACATATATACACAACTACCACTAAAGTAAACATGATGCCATTCAGTAAACATGATCTAAAGTAAACCTTACTTTGTACCCACCTTCTATTATAATGATAATCTATGTAACTCTTTCAATTTACATCTAAAATACCACTTCTTTCATTATTAAAAAACTAAAATATCCTCTCAGATCTACATCTGAAAAAAAACATTTAATTTAATATAAGTATTTTTTTTATTAGGCACATGTATTAAACATTAACTAATGCTTATGTCTCCTATATAATACTGTAGCCATGCTACAGCACGGTTTATGCACTAGTAAAATATAAAATAAAATTGATATTTGACGTCAAGAAAAAGCTCTGATTGATTGGATTCCATCTGCTAGTTTTGTTATGAATGGCGTTGGGGTTGTTGGGATCGAGAGGAGTGAGTTGAGGGAAGTGGCGGCGATGCGCGTGCTACAGTACCCGCAACGCTACAGTATCCGCGGGGGTACTGTTCACGTGGTGGTGGCTAGGGCTGCAAGGGCGCTGGGTAGGCCGGCCGCGGGGCTTCGCCCACGGCCGGCAAGAGAGAAGGGATTTCCTTCTAATCTCTTGTTTGATTAGATTGATACATCTCCTCTCCTTATATAGAGAGGTTTACTTGACTCTTAAGCAAGCGACTAATTAACCCTAACGGGCTAAGGCCCAATAGGCCCTTGACTCCTCTAACAAGTTTCGTACAATTTTAGCTGCACACTCTCATTCGTGCTTGCTAGGTTCTATATATCTCAATATCTGCAACCTTGCTCCCACTATATATGTTCTAATTAATTAACTTGAAATAGGTTTCGCATTCGGCAGGCCCATGGAGCATTTTGGTAGTGTTTATACTGAAGATCCACGTCATGTTCTTCAAGCTGGCTGCGACGACAATGTGTGGCGCTCCTTCCACAAAGGCATGGAAGAGAAGCTGTGGCGTGTGGACACCTTGCTGCTTGCCAGCGCCATCATGGTGGGCGTTATAGTTGGGATAGATGCCTATAGCCAGCGCTACCGTCACCACCCCTTCACCCGTTTTATCTACCTCGGCGCCACCACACTGTTCTTGACTATCATCTCCTCCGTCGTCTCATCCATCAACACTGGATTCGACTATAGCATGATCATCCCTGACATATGGGACCAGAAAGCCCCTTCCTTGATGGCAGTGTGCAATCCGGACAAGCACTCTGTCCTGGTGGTAACATGGGCACAGCTTGTTCAGAATGTCCTCATCAATACCAGCATAGTAGTCGCTGTTGACAAAAGAGAAGGTCGCAGCACAGGCCCTCCTATGGAACTGCTTGCTCAGGGGGTCTGGATCCTTTACCTCGGTATCAGCCATATCTACATACTTCAGGCCACGTATCCCAAGGAGAACAAACCCATTCATCTTTATCTTCGGGGATTATAAAACATATCCCAGATCCCACCATACCTTGGACTTCACTCTTCTCTATCTCCTTGAAGTCTTACCTTTTGTCCTCACTCTAGCCAAACTGGCATTCAAATTTTATGCTGCTAAATTTGCGCAGCAATCCTTCGCCTTTGGGCGCAATCCTTGCCTTGTTTCTAGGTACATGCGACAGCTGCAACCAATGGCCGTACCTCCACCCCCACTATTGGTTATGGGAGAAGAGAGCAGGCACATCGAGAAGCATCCTCGCGGGTACGTGTTGATGGATGATGACGACAACTCAGGATCGAGAACAATGTCGTCGTCGTCGTTGCACAAACCAGGCATTAACGGTTTGGTGACAGTTGACAGGGTTTGGCAGCAGCTAGATGGCAACAACGGCACAATGCTTCTTCCAGCGCGAACAACACAGAGGCTAAAGAACTTGTGCTTATCTTTTGCATTGTTCAAGCTGCTGCGATGTCGATTCGCAAGGTACGAGCTTGCTGACGCTGTCTCTGGCTCTGATATGAAGAACTCATTCGGTTATTTCTGGAGCCTGTTGCTCAAGGATAGTGAACCAGCTGATAGGGTGTTTAGGGTGATTGTGGATAGCCTCTCTTTCCTTCATGACTACTACTACTCGTCCCTCCCCATCTCCTACTCAAAGTGTTGGCTACCCATCGTGGGCATCCTTATCTCGCTCTGCAGCATATGCTACTGTATCTTTCTTTCAGTATGGATGATACACAATAAGTATGGTTGGGTGCATGAGTGCATCATCAGATTGAGTGTGTCATCCGATGTAAAGGTGCAGCTTCTGACGTCTTTGGAAGCCTACTAGTCGATGTTGTGCCACTGTTTTTGCTTCTGGTGTTTGTCATGACAGCTGAGCTGAGGGACTTGGCTTCCTATATCTGCTCCAACTGGACCAAAGTAGTCGTCACTTGCCGCCAGCTTCTGCACAGTGATAATCAATCTCTTTCCATGAGTGAATTTAAATGGTCTGCATATCATTTGAGATGTAGATGTAGGCTTATCACAACTGCAGACGCCCTCTTTGCCGAGTGCTGGGGGCACTCGGCAAAGCCAGCCAAGCACTCGGCAAAGGCTTTGCCGAGTGCCGCACTCGGCAAAGGTCTCTCGGCAAAGATTTTATCGGCAAATATTTCTTTGCCGAGTGCCAAAAATCGACACTCGGCAAAGTCTTTGCCGAGTGCCAAGCCCGCACTCGGCAAAAAAATAACTGCCGTCAACATTTGACGCCGGTTTTGCCGAGTGCCTAGGGACTGGCACTCGGCAAAATTTGAATTTTTGCCGAGAGCCAGGGCTCAGCACTCGGCAAAGAAACCATTTTTTTTTTAAAAATCTTTTTAAAAATAGTCTTTGCCGAGTGGTACCACCTGGCACTCGGCAAAATTGACCTCTTTGCCGAGTGCCAGGCCGTGGCACTTGGCAAAACTAGGGAAGTGGCTGTTTTTGCAGCATTTTTTCCAGCTTTGCCGAGTGCCACACCCCTGGCACTCGGCAAAGACTTCTTTGCCCAGTGTTGGCACTCGGCAAAGCTGGAAAATTTGCTATTTTTTTTGTTTGTTGCTTTCCTTCGAAAGCAAACACGCAAAACTCATATATAATACATGAGACAGCACACATGCATTTAGCATCACACAAAACGCATACATAATCCATCACATACATCCATAATACATCACAAGCACATCCATCACAAGCACATCCTCCTGCATAATCCATCACACGCACATCCAATGTGCAAATCCATGACAACATCTAAGAAGTCTTCATCCAACACAAGTCCTAGATCAAGAAAAGTCAATGAAACATGAAGAGGCACCACCTACTGCCATTGATCCCAATGGGAGCCTAAAGGGGCACCTCCGTGCGGTGGTGGACCTGTCCAGTCGGGGTGTGTGTGCTGAGGCGAAGGAGTCGGGTTCGAACCCGACGACTGTTGCTGCACAAAGGAGAATTGAATTCATTAGTATCTACACAAGCTAAAGGACTTGATCAACCATATATATATACTCACCAGAGTGCCTAGAGCCAGAGGAGTAGGAGGCACAACTGGAGCGAGCAGCGACTGGGGCACCACCACACCCGGGAGAGTGGTGCCGAGGCTCGACATGAATGAGAACATGTCCTGCATCCTCTGCGCCTCGGCCGCCCTCTGGGCCCTCAGGACCTCCCACTCGGCCCTCTCGACCTCCCTCTGGGCCCTCTCCCTCTCCCTCTCCCTCTTGACCCTCTCGGCCTCCCTCTCGGCCTCCATCCTCTCCACAGTGGCCTGCAATATTCAATCACCAACGTTTAAACAATGCAAATGCAAGGTACATGTGTAAAAGTAATGAACGACGAATGAAATAGAACTAACCTGGAGTGCCGCCATCTGCTGCAGTGTGCTCACCTGCCGAGGTCGAATGGGGACGGAGGAGCTCGTGCTCTGTGCTCGGATCTGGGCGAGGTTGGGCACAGAGATCGAGTCGACCATGTTGGAGGCCATCCAGTACCGGCCGTGCTGCTTCCCTCCTCCGAGCCTCATCACGAGGTCGGTATCAAGGGGCTGGGTGGCGGGGTCGAAGTCCTCCCCATGCCGCTCGCGGGCCGCCGAGGCGTAGTCGGTGAGCTTGCTGTGGACGCTCGTGTTGCTGTACGCCTCGGGCCCGTCCTCCGGGTTGTAGACGGTGTCCGAGGCTGTCGCCTTGCCCTTGTGTGCCATGGCGTACGCCATGAACTCGTTGCATTCCTGGCCATCATGCGACTGGGACTACGAGGAAAACACAAAGACGATTAGAAGTAATGAGAATTGAGCGTTAGAACAAATAAATAAATAAGTGCGTAGCGTGTACCCAGGCATGGGCGTATGAACTGAGGGGCCGGTTGCCTTGGTGGTGCGCCGGCCCACCCATCTGCAGGTGGCACTCCCGACGGAGGGCGTGTCTCTCCCTCCACTCATCGGAGACCCACTTGTCCACGATGGCCGCCCAACAGTCTCTGTGGGTGGCGCACCAAGAAGGACACATCTGCATGCCATCAAGTATTAGAAATGTTAGAATATAAAATGAAGGCTACCTATTCTTCATGGAATGAGTCAGTAACAATGTTTTATAACTTACTGCGAGGTACTGCTCCCTGGTGAGTGTCATGGTCCTGGCCTCGCTCTTCCCCGGGTACCGACCAAGGACGTCGCACGAGTGGTTGATGTGGCACTGCAGCCTCGCCTCGTAGTACAGGTCCGTGACTCGGCCCCTGCATGCCCTGTCCTGCACCTTCGTCACCCAGGCGGGGTCATGCCCCTCCTCCAACGTGAAGAAGTCCTGCATACAGACATCATGTGTCCTTTCATTATTTCAAGAACGTCTAATGAATTCATAGTATTGAGCAATGTAGTGTGATGTAGACTCACCCAGAACTCACGCCTGATCCGCTCCTGTACGGTGCCGTACACGGCGTCCACGGCGGAGTTGAAGTGGTCCCACGTCCAGGGAGGCGACTCAACCTAGGCGTGGGTGACCAAACCAGGGTAGTGCAGGCGGATCAGGCCACCGAGGATCCCATTGCACTGCCGATGATCGCCCCCGGACACAAGTTCCCAGTTCCTACAGGAGTCAGTAAGAAGAATTGTTAGTCCGCAGTTCGGTTTTCAGCATATGAACAAGAAGAGATGCAAAATGAATGGATACTTACTTGTCGCCCTTGGGATGAATCACCGGCCTCCTCTGAAACGGGATCGGCCGCGCCGGGAGCTGCGAGGACCCGCGCAAGTACGATACCGATGAGGTGCTCGAAGTGGAACCCCGCCACCCCTGGAGGAAGTGTCACCCCCGCCACCCACCCCAGAGGAAGTGTCACCCCCTCACATGCTGGGGGCCAGCTGCCTGGTCTCGTCGTAAATGGGTGTGGTCGTCGTCCGGTCCTCCTCGGGCGGGGGCGGCGACACGATCACATCACCCTCCTCGGACGGCCGCGGAGGCGGCGGGCCGGACGGCTCCTCGCCGACGCCTCCGCCTCCGCCTCCGCCTCCTGAGTTGTCCTCGCATAGAGCGAGTTGCAGGCCCGGGTCCGCCTTCCGCCCGGCATTTTGTCGAGTGCCTGCAAATACAAAGAGTAAACCAGTTAGCACAATATAGACAAATATAGATATGCAAAATGAACGAAACATAACTAGAAAATAATAATAATATAGTATTACATGAATTAGAAATAATCTTCAGGATCGGCAGCTGCCGGATCATAAGTGTCGTCATCACTATCAATATTGTCTAACATTTCCGCCTCATCTCCATCGTTGTCATCAATGGCAACGCCAAACCGTAATCGCTCAAGCAGTGCTAAGTCTTTGGCATTTTGCACCTCTTCTCCATCGTCCTCATCTCCATCGTCCTCATCAATGTCATTGTCTACTTCCATGCCCATCAGCGAAAACATGTCTATGTCAAACGTGCCATCTAGCCCCTCGGGTTGATAGAACTCCCCAGTATATGTGTTTGGGTCAAAGTTGTAATCCTCATCGTTTGGGACGGGCACTTTGCCATCTTGGTGATACCAAGCACAAGCAAGGTACCAACCCTCAAGAGTGGGATCTTTTGGCACGCCCATGGAAGATAATAAACTTGCGTGGCCTGTTGAGCCACAATATAGACATCGTCTCCTTGATAGAGGGAATCTTGTCGAATTTCAACTTGTCCAATCTCAGGGGCTCTTCTCGTGACATTGGGATCGAACCAATGGCATTTGAATACGACTGGCTTATGACCTCCGTGAAGCTCAAAGTTGAGCTCGTATATTTCTTCGACTATGCCGTAGTAGTCGCGGTCATCGGTGCCGGGCGTACGAACTCCAGTATTCGTGGTTATACCTAGGGTGTCGGTGAGGTCAGGCTAGTGGGGCGGTGGCGAGTCGCTGCAGTGGCGAGGCGACGCGGTGCAGGCAGAACCGCAACGCCGACGAAGACGATCGGGGTCGCCGAGTGCCTCCCAACGGTCCTCGTCCTGCAAAGAAAAGGCAAATGGTTAGACTCCATTGAAAATTTCGGCAGCACCTTCCCTGCATGGAGAGGTTCCCAAAACCTACAGAAAACATTGGCACGAAGGCCAACAACCACATGTATACCAAACATAGGCACGAAGGCCATCAACCACATACATACAACAATAACTACTACTAACACTAAAACTATGAACAACAACTACAACTACTACTGTCACTACGACTTACTAACTAATACTAACACTAATAATTAACTACTACTACTAACACTACTACTTACTAACTAATACTAACATTAGGGCATACCTTGCAGTGAGAATCACGAAGACCGAGGGCGGCGGCGACGACACGGGACGGCCGCACTGGCGTGAGGGTCGACGAACCGAGGCGGCACCTTTCTTCTCCTCTCTTCTCCTCTTCTCCCTTCTCCTTCTCTCCTCCCCTCCTCTCTCTTCTCCCCCCGCCTCCTTCTCCTCCCTTCTCCTTCCTCTCCTCCTCCTCCTCCTTCTCTTTCTTCTTCTTCTTCCTCCCCTTCTTCTCCTTCCTCCTTTCCTTCCTCCTCTTCCTCCTACCTCCTCCTCCTTCCCTCTCATGGCCTTGAGGCGGAGGTGCTGTGGTCTGAGGCACTTCTTGGTGTGCAGTGGCATGGTGGGCGGTCTTGGCTGGGCTCTGTGTGTGTGTGGCTTGGCAACTTCTGGTGTGTGTGCTGTATGGTGCGTGTGTGTCGTGTGTGTGTGTGCGTGGTGTGTGTGCGTGTGTCCGGTTTTTTATATTTCAAACCTCTTTCTTGAGTTCAGTTCGGGGCACTCGGCAAAAAATATTTGCCGAGTGCCCCGATCCGCACTAAATGAAATAAAAATTAAAAAAATCCTGTCTGGGCTTTTGTAGAGAGTGGCTAGGGCTAGCACTCGGCAAAATATTCACTTTGCCGAGTGCCAAACCTTGGCACTCGGCAAAATAAATTTTTTTTTTGTTTTTTGCCACCAACTTTTTTCTTAGATTTGTATTTGTACCATGAACAACATGTTCAAATTTGGCACAATTTCATTCTTTGTTTGCTATATTTCTTCACTTTATTTCGTTTTCTTGTATGGTTTTCAGGAAAATGTAGGTTTGAGCTGCGGTGCAAGAATAATAATTTTGATCCATTCCAAAATGTTATTCTTGTTTGATAGTGTCACTTTATGCTAAGTTTCATGATTTTCGGATTCGCTTGAATTTTTAGAATTAAATAACCACTGTGCTAAAGTTCGCGACGCTGAATCGTGAGCACGTTGATCAAAGTGAGTTATTTAGATTTAGTATAAAGTGACATTCAAACAAGAATAACAAAATGGATCAAAACTATTATTCGATGATGTAGTTCATATCACATACATTTTCGGTGGTAAAAATTTGCAAGCGTTTGAAATAAAGTGAAGAAATATGGTGTTCACAAACCAGAATGAAATTATGCCAAATTTGAACATGTTGTTCATGGTACAAAAACACAAATCTAAGAAAAAGTTGGTGGGTATAAAAAAAAAAAAAATTATTTTGCCGAAAAGGTTTGGCACTCAAAAAAGTGAATATTTTGCCAGTGCTAACCCTAGGCACTCGGCAAAGCCAATATTTTGCCGAAAGTGCCAAGCAGAAGGCACTTTCGGCAAAGAGGACGGCGTTGGGTACCGTTCTCCCCGGGCGCCTCTTTGCCGAGTGCCCAACTTTGCCGAGTGTCTGGCACTGGGCAAAGTTTGGCTTTGCCGAGTGCCAGACACTCGGCAAAGCCCTATTTGCCGAGTGCCAAGTTTCGCCGGGTGCGGCACTCGGCAAAGGTGACCTTTGCCGAGTGCCCGATATTTGGCACTCGGCAAAGATTTGAGCACTGGGCAAAGTCCCGGTTTCCTGTAGTGTATGAAGCATCATTTCTGGGATGAGAGGATGGGTCAATGCTCAGTGCTTCCACTTCGCCCAGGAACAAAAACCCCGCTTGCACTTGGCAGGCATCTACTCCATCTGCCTCACCAGAAAACCAAACTCAACCCAACTGTGAAGGTTTCTATAATCGACGCGCTACGAAGCAGTAGAAATGATGGTCGGCACCTGAGCAATGGTAGGACATCTCTCTACCGCTTGAGTCATCAAGATGGTGAAAGGTTCCTCTGGGCCTGCAACAACAAGAGCACGTCTGATGTTATACTTACATGGCAGATGGCCACAAATATTCTTGAAGTCAGGTATCCTCAGAGCAGAAAACAAAGCTCTTCATCTATTACTTTAGATCGTCATAGGACTGTTGCCACTCAACTGTCACGGTACTGCGTGTACCTAGTGACCTGCTGTCCCGAGCTGCTCCCTGACGATGATGCATGGAGCAAGAGCCTGTATGAGGATGTCAAGAAGGACGCAGAGCGCGCCCTTGCTCGCCCATGCTGTGCCCTTACCCACCGTTACGTGTGCATGTCATCGGCATCAACGCCAGGGTATCAGGAGCTAGTCGACCCGCTGAGTGCCAATGCCAACTCCAAGCATCAAGTGCTCAATGACGGCGTGAAGCTTGGGCAGCAGCTGGTGGAGACGATCTACAACGAGGAGGCAGCGTGGAAGTTGTTGGCCGACTTCTGGTCCGAGATGATACTGTATGTAGCGCCGTCGGACAACTTGAAAGGGCACAAGGAGTCAATCGCCCGTGGCGGCGAGCTCATCATGCTCCTCTGGGCATTGCTTGGCCATGCCGGGATCATCAGCAGGAGCACCGATGGTGATGGTGGTGACGCCAGGGCTGCTGCTGGTACTTCTTAGGCTGTGCTAGCTGTCTAGATAGCAGAATCGTGTGGTATGCATGTACGATTGGTGGCCTTCTGCCTATGGCATCTCTACTTGATACTGTTACCTTGGTGTGTGTTTTGTGTGTGCCTATTTGTTTATTTCTACATGGATGTGATGCAACTAATATATTTGTACTGCCATTTTTTATTTTTCTTGACCACGTATTTGGTGGCTGTATCATTGTCATGTGAGTATATGTACGAATGATTGTTCTGGAGCTCGCAGCCATGTTCCTAGAACGATAGGGACGATGAACATGCTTGATTAATGTGAGGATTTATATATAAAAAAAAACTCGACCTGAAGGGATTAAGACTGCTCCTAAAGCATTCCAAATAAGAAGAAGACCTTCTCACCAGGCCGAGAAAACCCTCAAACCCCCGCGCCCACCCTTACACGGTGGCTTTCCGTCGCCTAAGTGAGAATTGGGCCGGTGCCCCCCCCCCCCGTGCTTTGGATATGGGACGGACGAGGGGATTTTTTTAACCTCAGCCTGAAATTCGCTCCCACGAAAAGTCTAACCCGAGATCTGAGGAATGCCACCGGGGTACTCTAACCAACTGGGCTGGAGGCCCTTCTCAAGACAATAGACAAGATGAGTGAGGTTCCTTGTCAACAAGAGTTAGGATTACTACTCATGATTAATGTGTGTACTTTTTAAGGGTTGACTAAGTCATGTTCCAAACCTCGCTTTTTTTTACCAGAGCGAGTACTGTTGGCCAGTCGAATCCCAGTTTTTTTTTTTTAAGAAAAGCAAAAAGAAAAAAGAAAATTGGTTCACTTTAGCAGCAACTACATGGGCTATGCTGGGCCAAGTCCGAGCCATTGTTGACTGGACTCTTTGGAGTTTGGAGGCATTCTGAAGCCCACCACCAGCACGTACGCCAAGAAACTCGATCACATGGGCTATGCTGGGCCAAGCCTATTATGGGCTCTAACTGAACGGTAACTGTGTGTCTAAATGGGAAAAGTAAATTGTCCTAGCTAGTTCAGAGTTCAAACTTTTTTACTGCGAAGCCTCTCTATCAAGTATCAACGCGACCTCTTCATCAAGGGGAAAAAAGATGGTGGTGCTCCTATACGAAAGTGGAACGTGTAAAAATAGTTTGTGGTGGTGGTGGGAGATTAGAAATGCCTGAAGATATGGATTCATTGATTTGCTACAAATTAAAATAAACATATATGAATTGGATATGTAAACATTATTGATTGGGGTGTTACTTTATAAGATCCGGATATATCTTGAGGATATATAGCATGCACTAGTGTGAGGTTAGCTAGGCCTTACCTCTATATATAAACAAGGGGTCTTCGTTCCAAGGAAACATTCATTTTCTCCTGTCTGAAAAAGGAGCACTAAGTAAGTGATAGCAAGAGGATTCTCTCGTATAGCTTCCAATCCTGATGGCACTCAACAGCAATTGGACAAAGACCTTCGTGTCCTTGACGATATGCTTTTTCCTGGTGGTTCTAATCATTTCCCCATCCTGTCAAGCAAAAGGTATGTATATACATTTTCTATATCTTAGGAGTGCTTGATTTACTTATTTTAATTTATACTAGTAAAAATGGCGATTGTGTTGCAATAGGAGAAAAACCCTTACCGTATATGGTCTACAATTTTTTTTACAGGATTATATATCATTGTTAGGCACAAATATTTATTTACATGAATTTAAAACAATGCTCGAAAAACAGTAGAATTAAGCCAATAATTTTAAATTGGTTTAGCCACAAAATTCTTTTTTCAGCCCTTACCAAAGCAGCTCAACAATATTATCTATATCTATATCAAAACGGGCTTGCTAGTGCCCAGAGCGTAGAGGGAGCAAACGAGCATATAGCGCGTCGGGCTTGCGAGGGAGCGCACTAGTAGTGGGCCCACGCCACCTCCGGACTTCGCCCATGCCGCCCTGAACGTCCTCCGCACCATCGGCTGCTTCCCATGCGCATCCCATGTGCAATATTCGATCTACTTTTTGAGACATCCAGATGTAACAGTTGCAACATAAAAAAACGACAAATAAAAGACTTGGAACAAGCGTGACAAACACTCGCGAAAACGGCTGGAAAACATTTGAAAACCATTACAAACATATGCAACATCCAGATAAAATACTCGCAAACATACGTATGAAACACCTGGAAACACTTGAAACATATGCTTGCAACATGCATGTATATGCAATATCCAGATCTACTTTTGCAACCTCCAGATAGAACACTTGTAACATTCGTCTGGAACAAATATAGCCATTACAACATGTGCAACATCCCGATCTACTTTGCAACGTCGGTATACAACACTTGTAACATACCTCTAAAACATTTGAAACACTTAAAACATACTATTGCAACATGCGCTTTCAGCGTAGCATATGCTTGCTGCTTCGACGAATCGAGGCTCGTCGATGCGGAGCTCGACACCGGTGTGGAGTCTGCGGCGGCACAGACCTTGGCAAGGGCAAGGGCAGGCAGATGGAGCGCGACCGGGAGGCGCGAGGGGCATGCGGCGCGAGCGGGGGTGGCGCGGCCGAGGGCAGGGTCCGTCCCGGAGCAAAAGCACGAAGCGCGCTGAGCGAGCAGGCGACGCGGGCAGAGGCGGCACGGGTCAGGCGCAAAACTAGCGAGCATCTTATACGGGTCCGTCCAACCTATAAGCAGCATTACCGATATAAAAAAAAAACATCGACAAATTTCATGAAACGGGCCATATTCGGCCTGACCCAGTAAGCACACGGACCTCTGGTCACAAAATCTAACGCTGGGCCAAAAATTTGCCTGGACGCGCAACCTACGCCGGCGTCCTTGCTAGTTCAGAGTTCAAACTTTGTTTTACCGCAAAGCCTCTCTATCTACGCAATCTCTCAAGGAAAAAGATAGGAGTACTCCGCACCCAACTCGATCGCAAAATTTTGTATCTCTAGTATGCGTTTGTGGCGGTCGTGGTGAGAGATTAGAAATGCCTGAAGATATGGATTTTCATAATTCATTAGCTACAAATTAAAATAAACGTAGGAGCACGTAAATATTAATCTGAAGGAAAAAAGGAACTAATGATAGAGATGGAGCACAGATGTAAATAAAGCATATGAATTGGATATCTAAAGATTAATTGGAGAGTTTTATATGATAAGATCCCGATATATATCTTGAGGATATATAACATGCACTAGTGTGAGGTTAGCTAGGCGCCTTACCTCTCTATACAAATGGCCGCACATTGAGACACAAAGGGGCCATCGTTCCAAGCAAATTTCCATCTTCTCTTGTCTGAAAAAGGAGCACAAAGTAAGTGATAGCAAGAGCATTCTCTACTATAGCTTCCTGATGGCACCCAACAGCAATTGGACAAAGACCTTCGTGTCTTTGACAACATGCTTTTTCGTGGTGCTTGTAATCATTTCTCCATCCTGCCAAGCAAAAGGTTTGTATATACACTTGTATATCTTGGAAGTGCTTGATTTTCTTTCTTTGATTTATACTAGTAAATATGGCGGTTGTGTTGCAATAGGAGAAAAACCCTTAGCCTATATGGTCTGCAACTTTTTTTTCGAGATTTACATATTATTGTTAGACACAAATATTTATTTACATGTATTTAAAACATTGCTCTAAAAACAGTAGAATTAAGCCAATAATTTTAAATTGGTTTAGCCTCAATATTCTTTTTGCAGCCCATTCCAAAGCAGCTCAACAGTATATCTATATCCATATCCATATCTATATCTATATCTATATCTAAATCTATATCTATAATTTTTTTACGAGAATATCTACATAAAAAATCTATATCGTCGGCTTAGCGAGCTACAAACACAATCGTCGTCATGTATGTTATCGGCTACTTGATGAGAATCTAAGACACATTAGATTGATCATAAAATCAAACAGAGTTTGTAGAATCGTAGCTAGGCATGGAAGACGCAGGGGCAGCCCATCAATCATTCCGTGAAATAGACGACGTAGAAAAGGATTCACTCCTGCTTTTTTTATATCAGATTATTATTATATTACGTATAGATTATGATAGATTAACTATGGGCCTGTTTGTTTCCGCTCATAAGCGCGTTGGCGACCGAGATGCGCGGAAAACGCCAGATAATCCCCCCGAACGGTCTGCGGCGCTCGCGCATTTCGCAGCAGAAAATGAACGCGGCTCGGCGATTCCCAAATCGCGGCCTCGGAGCCGCGTTCGCTCAAACACGAACGCGCGATACGGCATCGCGGAAACAAACAGGCCCTATATATTGTAGATTATGATTATTAATCAATTATATAACGGATCAAGCTACTACCTTTTTTTTTGCAGTCATGATGAAGGCCCCCGTTCACCTTGGCTTGCGGCCACCATTCTGCTTTCCATACGATCCTCAATACTGCACGGCATTTCACTGTGGCAAAGTTTGCCAAGAGTACAACTTCCCTGCTAAGAATGGCGGTTACTGCGAAAAACGTGTTAACCCATGGCAGTGCTGCTGTCCGTATTGAAAGGGCCTAAAACAAATGTATCCATGCAGCTACCTAGCTTGCATTGATATGCCAATTACCAATATATATACTGAATAAAAAAGTACTCCATTAATTCGTTGTGTTTTCGTGTGTACCGCTTCCTTTCCCACAATTCCTCATGTGTGTGTGTTTTTTTTATCAACTTGTGTGTTTTTTAGGTCGTCCTGTAACGTGAGACAACGTGACTACGCTGCCCTCGTGAACTGCGCTCGCGTATAACTTTAGGATCTGTCTAAATGTCACCGTGTGATCCGTCACCCGATTTTTTCTCCTCCCAACACTGTTCATCATCCTCCTCCCGACGGCCGCTGCAGCCCAACGCCCAGCGCCCCGCCACGGCGCGATGGGGTCTCGCCGGAGCTCGAAGCTCCGGCGAGATCCTACCACGCCAGCGACGGCCTCCTCCTTCCCCTCCCCCTCCTGCCGCCGATATCTTCGCAACTCGATCCCCCCCCCCCGAC